TCCCTCTCGGTTCAGAACGATTTTTGGAGAAGGGGCTCCGTTCACGACAGATGCTGTTAACATTTATGGGGCCACACCTTTTTTGCAAAAAGGGATTCATTCGCAACAGAATGAATATAACTCACGACAATATAATGCTACGTAACGGGAAAAAGCCAAAGCACTTACAGCAGCCACTGAATCGGCGCAGTCGCTGTCAACAATTCGCCGAGCGAAAGCAATCGTAACGGCAATATCTGTGGTGGAGAGCTGCTGCTGCACCTCGGCCAGATGAGCGAGATAATAATCGGCCAAAATTTCGATAACTGATGCAGGTTTGTTATTAATGGCATGCAAAATTTTAATCTGATATCGACTGGTTAATTGTGATGCGCCCACCGTATCGAATATACAGATCAGCAGATCCTTTAAATCCGGTAGTATATCCCTGAAAATAAACCACCTGCATCAGATAAACTGGCATATGTGAGGATTAACTTGTTGACGACAGCATACCTAAGTATCACTGTTTCAGGTTTTCATGAATAAAAGCAGATTGTAGCAACCAGGTTGACCCCAGAATTACTGTTCCAGTAAAAAACGAACCAGCTGACTGCATCAGCGCTCGGATGCGATAAAAGTTGGTCCAGCAGCTGTATTGCTGCTTCTTCGGTTCGATTGGCCAGCAGACGCTGCTTCACATCATAGCATGTCTCGGAACCGAACGGCATCGCGGACTGCTGCTTATTCGATGATGGTGGCGGCGATTGCGATTTGCTGCTCATTTCATGATCCATTTCACCTAAAAATCTTCGGAATCAGCCCGGAGATAAAAGTACAAACACAACAGCTATTTCGAAGCATCTTGGCAATTTTGTACCGTGTTTAGGTATAAAATTTAACAGAGGATGTGAAGGGACAGGAGGGTCATCGACAAAAAGTAGTGCCTCCGAGAGATTTTATACCTTATCTGATATAACAGCAGTAATGGGAAAGAAGTTACTGTTAACATTCACCAGTCGTACGAAAAGTAATGATGCACAGAGGCAAAACGTGATCACTGACGAAAGTTGAAGAGCGAGCACTGACTGAGGCAGGAGGAGCAACGATGTTGCAAAACGTGCTTGCACAGTGTCTACGTGACTTTTTGAAAAATACATGTGCGTGTGCATTTTGAGTGCAGGAAAGTATTGTAGTCGACAAGTTACCCAAAGCACTTATTGAAACCCAGCTCGTTTTGGCTCAGCAGCGCAAACGGTAGCCGTCTATAGATTTGGGTAGGAGTTACAAAGACCTCAGTTCTACACAAACTACCAGACTTTTATCACATTGAGAGTTTGGGGATGCAGGCACAAGCCCATCAGCTTTCACTCAGCATCTAGTTTCTTGCTTAGCGTTATAAAATCGATACGTAAATCGATGCATTATAAAATCGATAGCATCATAGAATTGATTTATAAAATCAATAGTGTTACAAAATTTTTTCTCCC